TTTGAGGTAATAAGCATTGTGTATAAGTTTCATAACATTTTGTTGAGGTAAACTCAAGTTAGAGAACGTAAACTAATTTTGGGACGTACAGACGGACAAGGGTAAAACTTAATGCCCCAACCACTAGGGCGGGGGCATAAAAAATAGAATTTATGATCTGGAGACAAATAAAAACAAGTAAATGCCATGCAGAACAATGTGTGTAAGTTGGGTGAAATAGCTGTTTACAAGGAGTTTCAGATTGACAAATTCTATTAGAAGGCTATGCAATAGCGATGTCAATGTTTTATTAAAGTTGAAAGAAACAAAAAATTGGTGGTAGATTTTATTATTCATGAAAAAGAGATGTGCTAATGGAAAAACAACTGCATACCAAATAGCATTGACTTACTAACCATTAGTGGATTCCCTTAAACAGACCTAATCACAAACTTAACCATGTAAATCTTTCGATTTATAAAGGGGCATAACTCAATAATGGTTAAAGTGACACTACCCAAATTCAACTTGATCTGTGTTTTATCAGTGGAAGTCAAAATTAAACATTGCATTGTATAACGCATTGATTGTAGTTGATTCAACTATAATAATGGACAAAGGAAGATAACTCCAATTTTAAAAATTACTTGATATTTAGAAGAAAAATATTTTGCAATTTTTCCATTTACAAATGTATACAGGGGCATAACTCTAGAACGGTTAAAGTGACGCCACCAAAATTCAAACTTGATCTGTGTTTTATGATGATAAGCATTGTGTATAAGTTTCATAACATTTGGTTGAGGCAAACTTAAGTTAGAGAATGGAAACTAAAAATTTTGCAATTTTTCCATTTATAAAGGGGCATTTCTCTAAAACGGTTACAGTGACGCCACCAAAATTCAAACTTGATCTGTGTTTTGAGGTAATAAGCATTGTGTATAAGTTTCATAACATTTTGTTGAGGTAAACTCAAGTTAGAGAACGTAAACCAATTTTGGGACGTACAGACGGACAAGGGTAAAACTTAATGCCCCCTCCACTAGGGCGGGGGCATAAAAAATAGAATTTATGATCTGGAGACAAATAAAAACAAGTAAATGCCATGTAGAACAATGTGTGTAAGTTTGGTGAAATAGCTGTTTACCAGGAGTTTCAGATTGACAAATTCTATTAGAAGGCTATGCAATAGCGATGTCAATGTTTTATTAAAGTTGAAAGAAACAAAAAATTGGTGGTAGATTTTATTATTCATGAAAAAGAGATGTGCTAATGGAAAAACAACTGCATACCAAATAGCATTGACTTACTAACCATTAGTGGATTCCCTTAAACAGACCTAATCACAAACTTAACCATGTAAATCTTTCGATTTATTCATTTTGTAAAGGGGCATAACTCAATAATGGTTAAAGTGACACTACCCAAATTCAACTTGATCTGTGTTTTATCAGTGGAAGTCAAAATTAAACATTGCATTGTATAACGCATTGATTGTAGTTGATTCAACTATAATAATGGACAAAGGAAGATAACTCCAATTTTAAAAATTACTTGATATTTAGAAGAAAAATATTTTGCAATTTTTCCATTTATACAGGGGCATAACTCTAGAACGGTTAAAGTGACGCCACCAAAATTCAAACTTGATCTGTGTTTTGTGGTGATAAGCATTGTGTATAAATTTCATAACATTTGGTTGAGGCAAACTTAAGTTAGAGAACGGAAACTAAAAATTTTGCAATTTTTCCATTTATAAAGGGGCATTTCTCTAAAACGGTTACAGTGACGCCACCAAAATTCAAACTTGATCTGTGTTTTGAGGTAATAAGCATTGTGTATAAGTTTCATAACATTTTGTTGAGGTAAACTCAAGTTAGAGAACGTAAACCAATTTTGGGACGTACAGACGGACAAGGGTAAAACTTAATGCCCCCTCCACTAGGGCGGGGGCATAAAAAATAGAATTTATGATCTGGAGACAAATAAAAACAAGTAAATGCCATGCAGAACAATGTGTGTAAGTTGGGTGAAATAGCTGTTTACCAGGAGTTTCAGATTGACAAATTCTATTAGAAGGCTATGCAATAGCGATGTCAATGTTTTATTAAAGTTGAAAGAAACAAAAAATTGGTGGTAGATTTTATTATTCATGAAAAAGAGATGTGCTAATGGAAAAACAACTGCATACCAAATAGCATTGACTTACTAACCATTAGTGGATTCCCTTAAACAGACCTAATCACAAACTTAACCATGTAAATCTTTCGATTTATTCATTTTGTAAAGGGGCATAACTCAATAATGGTTAAAGTGACACTACCCAAATTCAACTTGATCTGTGTTTTATCAGTGGAAGTCAAAATTAAACATTGCATTGTATAACGCATTGATTGTAGTTGATTCAACTATAATAATGGACAAAGGAAGATAACTCCAATTTTAAAAATTACTTGATATTTAGAAGAAAAATATTTTGCAATTTTTCCATTTATACAGGGGCATAACTCTAGAACGGTTAAAGTGACGCCACCAAAATTCAAACTTGATCTGTGTTTTGTGATGATAAGCATTGTGTATAAATTTCATAACATTTGGTTGAGGCAAACTTAAGTTAGAGAACGGAAACTAAAAATTTTGCAATTTTTCCATTTATAAAGGGGCATTTCTCTAAAACGGTTACAGTGACGCCACCAAAATTCAAACTTGATCTGTGTTTTGAGGTAATAAGCATTGTGTATAAGTTTCATAACATTTTGTTGAGGTAAACTCAAGTTAGAGAACGTAAACCAATTTTGGGACGTACAGACGGACAAGGGTAAAACTTAATGCCCCCTCCACTAGGGCGGGGGCATAAAAAATAGAATTTATGATCTGGAGACAAATAAAAACAAGTAAATGCCATGCAGAACAATGTGTGTAAGTTGGGTGAAATAGCTGTTTACAAGGAGTTTCAGATTGACAAATTCTATTAGAAGGCTATGCAATAGCGATGTCAATGTTTTATTAAAGTTGAAAGAAACAAAAAATTGGTGGTAGATTTTATTATTCATGAAAAAGAGATGTGCTAATGGAAAAACAACTGCATACCAAATAGCATTGACTAACTAACCATTAGTGGATTCCCTTAAACAGACCTAATCACAAACTTAACCATGTAAATCTTTCGATTTATAAAGGGGCATAACTCAATAATGGTTAAAGTGACACTACCCAAATTCAACTTGATCTGTGTTTTATCAGTGGAAGTCAAAATTAAACATTGCATTGTATAACGCATTGATTGTAGTTGATTCAACTATAATAATGGACAAAGGAAGATAACTCCAATTTTAAAAATTACTTGATATTTAGAAGAAAAATATTTTGCAATTTTTCCATTTACAAATGTATACAGGGGCATAACTCTAGAACGGTTAAAGTGACGCCACCAAAATTCAAACTTGATCTGTGTTTTATGATGATAAGCATTGTGTATAAGTTTCATAACATTTGGTTGAGGCAAACTTAAGTTAGAGAATGGAAACTAAAAATTTTGCAATTTTTCCATTTATAAAGGGGCATTTCTCTAAAACGGTTACAGTGACGCCACCAAAATTCAAACTTGATCTGTGTTTTGAGGTAATAAGCATTGTGTATAAGTTTCATAACATTTTGTTGAGGTAAACTCAAGTTAGAGAACGTAAACCAATTTTGGGACGTACAGACGGACAAGGGTAAAACTTAATGCCCCCTCCACTAGGGCGGGGGCATAAAAAATAGAATTTATGATCTGGAGACAAATAAAAACAAGTAAATGCCATGCAGAACAATGTGTGTAAGTTTGGTGAAATAGCTGTTTACCAGGAGTTTCAGATTGACAAATTCTATTAGAAGGCTATGCAATAGCGATGTCAATGTTTTATTAAAGTTGAAAGAAACAAAAAATTGGTGGTAGATTTTATTATTCATGAAAAAGAGATGTGCTAATGGAAAAACAACTGCATACCAAATAGCATTGACTTACTAACCATTAGTGGATTCCCTTAAACAGACCTAATCACAAACTTAACCATGTAAACAAAAGGCAGAGCACCCCCCCCCCCTCCCTTATTACAAAGTACCCCTTCAAAAGTTGGATTGCCAGGGGGTCCCCGCTTTTTAAATCCTGGATATGCACTTGGTACTCTTAGATGGGTAATTTGTGCAAGATGCATTTATACATTGAGTGGTCTGATGTACATTGTACATGTAGAACATGGTCTATAGAACCTTGATGGAATACATATACACAGTAACACTGAGTGGTCTAATCATGTTAATGTAGAACATGATCTACAGAACCTTTCTGGAATACATATACACTGAGTGGTCTAATGTAGAACATGGCCTACATGTACAAATTGTACAGAACCTTTCTGGAATACATATACACTGAGTGGTCTAATGTATAACATGGCCCACATGTACAAATTGTACAGAACCTTTCTGGAATACATATACACTGAGTGGTCTAATGTATAACATGGCCTACATGTACAAATTGTACAGAACCTTTCTGGAATGCATATACACTGAGTGGTCTAATGTAGAACATGGCCTACATGTACAAATTGTACAGAACCTTTCTGGAATACATATACACTGAGTGGTCTAATGTTTAACATGGCCTATATGTACAAATTGTACAGAACCTTTCTGGAATACATATACACTGAGTGGTCTAGACTAATGTAGAACATGGCCTACATGTACAGAACCTTTCTGGAATACATGTACATATACACTGATGACTGGTCTTATGTAGAACATGGCCTACATGTACAAATTGTACAGAACCTTTCTGGAATACATATACACTGAGTGGTCTAATGTTTAACATGGCCTATATGTACAAATTGTACAGAACCTTTCTGGAATACATATACACTGAGTGGTTTAATGTAAAACATGGTCTACATGTACAGAACCTTTCTAGAATACATATACACTGACTGGTCTTATGTAGAACATGGCCTACAGAACTTTTTTGGAATACTTACAAGGAACTGTTCTTAAATACAAGTTATCTCTTATGGTCTGCTGTAAATCATGGTCAACTGAACCTTTCTGGAATCTGGCTGCTAAGTATTGCTTTAAATCTCTTGGTAAAAGACCTAAAATGTATGGGTATTTTGTAATATGTGTTTATAATGTATAACTTGATGTACAAGTACATGTATACAATATAAATGTTTAATAAACTGTTAAGTGTTATACCTGTGTAACTGATCGCAAACTTTAATACCTGTTTAAGTGGCTGACAAAATATAAAAGTACATCCTTTAATAATCTATTTTTCTTACTCCAAACTTCAACTGACCTGACTGATGTTCATGTACAGGTTTGATTATAATTACATGTTTTAAGATACATGTTTATTCAAAATAACCAAAACTGATTGAAAAAAAATGATTGCCACTGTCATGACTCTAGGACTTCCACAATTAGCAAAACCCATACATTTGTGTACCAAAAAGTCAGCTTTTAAAGGTCCCATGCATACAATCTGTACAGTTTGGGACTAAAAAAATCAATGGTAGACAAACAAAAACAGAATAATATCTAGTGAATATTTGTCTCATTGGCATTCATACCACATCTCCTTATTATTATATAACGGTATATGTACATTGTAACAACATGACTGCAGAAGATTTGAATACCCTTACAGTCAATAGAAAGGAATACCCTAACAGTCAATAGAAAGGAATACCCTAACAGTCAATAGAAAGGAATACCCTAACAGTCAATAGAAAGGAAAACCACTAACATTTTCCATCTAGGACCCAACCTGCAATAACACAAAAGATAAAGATAACCACTAGTACTATGGACTTTCAGCTTAAATATAGGGTGCAGCCCAAATTTTATTAGCCTCGGCTACCGGACGCTATATTTATACCTTTCCTGCCGTTCTTACCCCTGTGAACATAACAATATAACATGTCAGAGTACATGTACTAATGTATTAAATAGTTTAGTCAAGAATTATGCTACTAATATTCCCAATTCTAAATTTAGAAAGGTAAATATTCCTTCAGTATAGTTGTCATTATTGTAAAATGAACAAAAGTTACTTTAAATGTACACTGTACATGTATCTCTTGCTTCAAAAATCCCTATTGGTGACAAAAGACCACACCTTTTTTGAACAAATAATATTTGTCTATATTGAGTGAAGTCATCATTTTTCTCTGTATAAATAAGCCGATCACAGGTGATGATTAATTAACAGTTAATCAGTAATCAATCAATGATTCAGGTAATACTGATTTGTCACCTTTTAAAAATGTTTTACTCTAGCAATAACAAAAATCTTTTATATAGATATTCTTATATAAATAATGTACTAATGATGATGGAAAAACTGTATAATGACTCGTCTCTTCACCATACATTGTAGTTTAAACTGGACTCATATAATTACTAATTAATAATGGGCCAATTAGTTGCTACATGTAGTTCCAAAGAACTTGCATTTGCAAGAACATCAACTACATGTACATGTACAACTGAGCATATATGTACAATGCACAAAATGTTTATACATTTACATGTGTACATTGGATACAATGTATAAAATGTATATAAATTAATCATGTTAATGTATTAAATAATTGCAATCATTCAAGCTTAGAAAATAATGTGTATATAAAAATAAGAAGATGTGGTATGATGGCCAATAAGACAACTCTCCACCAGAGACCAAATTACCTAGAAGTAAGCAACTATACATGTAGGTCACAATACGGCCTTCAACAATGAGCAAAACCCAAAAAGCTATAAAAGCCCTCATACATGTATGTACATTTGTAAAATGTAAAACAATTCAAACGAGAAAACTAACAGCCTGATTTTTGTACAAAACAATAGACGAAAAAACAAATATGATATACATGCATTGAAGACCCATTGGTGGCCTTTGGCTGTTGTCTGCTCTATGGTCGGGTTGTTGTCTCTTTGACACATTCCCCATAATTTCAATTCTCAATTTTATTTTATGCATGTACATGTAAATTATAACAAATGACAACCATTGAATTACAGGTTTCTGACATAGGACAGGAGCATACGAAATGTGACGGGGTTAAACATGTTAGGGGGTACCCAACCCCCCTACCTAACCAGCTAACCTAGGAGAGTGATGCAACATTACAACACAAGAACAATTTACAAAACAATAAACAGAAAACAAATCTGATAACCGACAACCACTCAATTATAATTTGGGACAGGCACATATAGAATGAAGTTGGGTAAAACATGCTAGTGGGCACCCAACCCCCTTCCCCTCCCCTAACCTGGTACAGTGGTGTTACTGCACAATATAAGAATAACTATAAAAATCAGTTAAAAAGGACTTACAAATGTAACTCAACAGATGGATACAAATCACAAACAAGACTAACAAAGTATGGATCTGAGAGTACTCACAGTTACTGAAAGCTAGTTCAGTGGGATATCCAGTAAACGAAAACAAAAGAAAATTCATTCTTCTTATGATAAGAGTCGAGAAAGTCAATAATAAAACAATACTGGTGACGATACTGATCAAAAGTTATTTCTAAATAATAATTGTACATGTACATTTTAAAGAAATTATTTATTAATCTGTGTTATTAGAAATATACAAATGTACATGCAAATACACAATGTTTTATGTTCAGTATTTATCGAGATAATTAATGCTTTAGAAGCTTGTGAAACTGAAATTTAACAAGAGTGCACAGTTGAAATGTCTAGCCTTCATTACTAATCATTGATATTATGTTGATAGTCCTAAATATAAAGCTTTATTACAACTGTCACATAAACTTAACATTAACCAAGTAAACTAAACATTGACCAATGAACCATGAAAATAAGGTCAAAGTCAGATGAACCGTGCTAGGCAGGCATGTACAGCTAACAATTCTTCTATACAACACAGTGTTCTCCCCAGATATTTCATTTAGCATCCTGGTAAACAGGGGAAATTGAAATATCATCTTGTTTCTAAAAATTATAGCATCACATCCATAACAGTTACACAATCTATAAGAAAATCAATTCAGATAGCATCACATTCAAGAAATATAGCATCACATTACCATGATGCTAAAAGGCCCTGGGGAGAACACTGCAACAAATATAGTTGACCTATTGCTTATAGTTTAAGAAAAACAGACGTAAACACAATAAAATGCTTCACTGGGCGCAGCTTGATACGACCGCAGAGGTCGAACCCTGAACAGTTGGGGCAAGTATGGACACAACATTCAAGCTTGATACAGCTCTGAATTTGGATTGTGATTAAATAGTTGACACAGCATAGGTTTCTGACACAGATAGAATGTGGTCTAAGAACTTGAATTTTTTTAATTTACCTATTATGGTCCAATGTCCAAAATAAAAATACATTGTTAGATTCAGCATATCAAAGAACCCCAAGAATTCAATTTTTGTTAAAATCAAACTAAGTTTAATTTTGGACCCTTTGGACCTTAATGTAGACCAATTTGAATAAAATGCTCCGCTGGGGCCCAGCTTGATACGACCGCAGAGGTCGAACCCTGAACAGTTGGGGCAAGTATATATGGACACAACATTCAAGCTTGATACAGCACTGAATTTGGATTGTAAATAAATATTTGCAATTAATTACCTATATGTACTGTTTATTTAAAAAAAAACACAATACTGGTACAATACTGGAATCCAATACTGGTACAAAATTTTTATAACAGTATTGATACCAGTATTGCGATCACCAACTACAGGAGATCCCATTGATTTAGAGCACATTCATATATCTGATTACAGAAAAGTAACCTTTTGAAGCTACAATGTAAAGCAGTACAAGTCAAAGCGGCACCTGGTCAAATCGGCACCCATAGAAAAAGTCAAATCGGCACCTGATCAAATTGGCATCTAGTCAAATCGGCACCTATTTAAAGTCAATTCGGCATCCAATAATATTTTAAAAATAAATTTAAAAATTTATTGTTTAAAGTTTTCTCAACATTCTATGACTGATTTTTTTATTAGTTTTCTTTTCAATTAATTTATTAATAACTTTTATCAATTACATAATTAACATGTTTGTTGTTTTAACTCTACCTGTGTATACAGGTAGTTATTGCTGTTTTTTCTTCAAAAACTTAATAATAAACAATAAAGCCATTACCCAAGCTGTTGTTTAATTATGAGAAAATTAGATGCAATAAAAGGGAAAACTATGAGTTCCTTTCATTACTATCACTAATCAAACTTGCATGCAAAATAATTAGCAATTAAGGTGGTTTTTCAGGAAACTTTAAACAGCATTAAACCAACAATCATGCAAAATGCTCAACTAGTTAAAATATGCATAAAAAATATCCAATACCTTGAATACACATTAAGTTGAACGAAAAAAAAAATACATACAGATATCCCCCAAAAATGTAAATAAGTCAATACTTGTTTAACTCCTTCTTTATTTTAATCTTTTTGCTTAAAATACTGAAAAAAACATACATTAAACATATCTAACATGGGTGCCGAAATGACTCCATCGGGTGCCGATTTAACCAGGTGCCAAATTGACTAGGTGCCGATTTGACTTTACCGGGTACCAAGGTGTCGATTTAACCAGGTGCCGATTTGACTAGAATTCAATGTAGCCCCTGCCTCAAATTATTTATAGTTATAATGGGTCATAATATCATATCGCAATACTATTGGCAGTCTTCTAAATCAGTGTTCCCGCCTGCCCTAAATAGAAGGGTGGCCCGCCCTTGGTGCCCTTACCCCCGCCCTTCTGCCCTCAAAAGTAAAAGAATGCACCCCACTGCCTTTTCAAAAAAATAAAATTTCAAAATTTTATGCCTACCGGCGTTTCCGGTAAAATTGTTACCTGATTGTGTAACACTAATTAACTGACAATGGGATTAAGTTAAATACCTAATGCTTTGGCAGTTTTATCACCTTTGTTAATGATTGTTTACTGCTAATTAGTGGATTTAAGATAATTGAACAAATACTAGATATTTAATACAGAATGAAATGTCCACATGTTATCCATTTGTAATGTTTATGTACAGCATGTACACCTGAAAAAATTTATTTCAGAAGGCATAACATAAAAAATAAAATCTTAAACAATTTTAAATGCATACATAGTTTTGACTTAATTGGTAAAAAATGTTTTGTTTCATAACCATGAGTATGAAATTTAAAGAGGAATCAAAGAAATTTGTACTTTGAACATAACAAGATTCACTTCCTGTTTTTAATACTTCTTGTATTTTATAATCCTCCTGACATGGAGCACTCAACAAATTTATTTTTAACAATGATGGAGAAAAAAGGTAACTGTTTATACTTTCTGCAATATATTATTGCATCAATATAAATATGATCCTCTCCTGTCTCACCTGTTATATTTATAAAACTCCTTACTGAGGAGCACTTTGGTGTGCACTTAAAAATACTTTTTTGTAACAATTTAAAAGATAATAAATAACTCTCAATAACATATATACTATATGTTTGAACAAGTAATTTAAATGTAGATAATTTAATTACATTCAACATTCAATTTTGCATGTATAACTCCATCTTTCAAAACTACTTCTTTATTTTGGTATAAGTTATAAAACATTGAAATTTCTGATGATTATTTTCCATACCAAATGTACAAGTTTGTTTAGATTAACATCAGAATGATATGCTTTGCTTCATGGTATGATAATTTGATGAAAAAAAATTCTTACTGGAACCAACATCAAGAACACATTAATTTCTGAATATGGTTTAAATACAACTAATGTTCTCCAGCTGAGCCTAGCAATATTCAAGGTAATTTATACACTGTCCAACATTGCCCTTAAAATCTGGGTTATAACGCTAAAGTGCCCTTTCAGACAACTAGCACCCTTCTGCCCTGAGATTCAAGCTGGAACACTGTAAATGGTTAATTGGATGGCTATTAATTTTCAAATAAGCATAAATTTTGAAACTTTATTGCTATTTCATGCATATAGTTTATTGTTTCATATGTGAATTTTTTTACTTTTGTAATTCTGGTAAATAGTTTAGTATATATATATATGCATGTTATAAAATCAATTAAAGCGTTTTAGTGAATTCTGTGGGGTGATAATGAATTTGGAAGCAAATGACCCTTTTATGCTACATGTTCTCATTAGTTGTACTCACCTATTTTAACAGTTTTCACCATAATTGGTGCTCCATTTTGACCAACTTGCTTTAACCATATTGTAGCATCTCTGAGAGTATATCCAGCAATTTTCTGTCCTTGAATTTCAAGAATAATATCATCAACATATAATTTTCCATTATGGAAAGTTAACTGTGATAATTTAAGTTCAGATATATAACAGAACTGTCCATTATCTGCTCCGCCTTTAAGATGTATTCCAAATTCTCCTTCAGGTAGAGCTGAAACAACCGTTTCCTGTATTCTTTGACTCCAATGTTTTTGTTGATTATGATCCTTTTGGGGCTTAGGAGGGGGTGCAACCGGTGGCTGTCGTACAATATCTTGTTTATTGTGTGACATTATATGATAGTGATTGGTACAGTATAAGACTTAACCGCATCTGATGATTTTAACCGATGCAAAACACATAAAAATGACATTTGAGGACACTGACCAACGCGATCCACTAGGAAAGTTGTCGGAGTTTTCGTTATTATTGCGTCCGATCTGGACATCTCCGCACTTGACTGTTCATGCCATTGTATAGTTTATTGATGTTTCTGAACTCTTGCATGTGTTTCTAATGTATAATATGCAAAACAATGGTAAATAATCTTATAAAAACATTCACATTCCGCCCTATTTTCAAACACAGTCGATGATGCATTCGTTATACGCATGCGCCAAAGGTTGACACGCCATAAATCGTTCTAATTGTCATTTAGTGTCGTAAAACGAAAGGTAGAATAATATTCGGTACAATTCCGATTCCTATTGCATGCGTATTTGGTGATTGATTAAAGAGCATTCAAGTTTGGATTAATACATGATACCATCTCATTCTATCAGTCAAAGGAAAGGGGGGAGGTAATGTTAAAGCACTAGACTCTAACCCTTCGACTAAAAATTTCAGTACTGAAAAAAAAAATTAAGAATAAAATATCAGATTTTTTAGAAGATCATCCTGGATAGTTTCCAGTCCCGTTAGAACAATAGTCCCAGGTAGATCTCACTGGATCTATCGTTTTCTTGTTGTCTTTCTTTTCAATTATCTCTGGATGTTGTGATGTTATACCTCTGATCCGTCTCATCAAGCACAAGTAGGGCTAATATGCTTTATACCTGCAAGTACCTGGAAAATTTTCAAAACAATTTTCTCGCCGCTTCACTGGTGTATTATCAAAGTTTACATCTGCTTCTAACATGTCTAAAATGTAAATTCCCAATCTATATTTAAGCACAGACTAGTGTTATGGTAAATTTGTCATAAGCACTAAAATTAAGTACATATGGCAAAATCAAAGGTACTTTATTTAAATCATTTGCACCACGTGACTTTGTCCCTTTTGATCAAATTACTTCCCTTAGCTTTAGATTGAAAATATAATTTATTATAGATTTGCGGATAATCCAGTCCTTTTCCGTCATGTATCTAAGACTAATGTATCTCTAAAAACTTCCTTTGGCGGATAGTTACAAAAATGCTGTGTAATTCTGAGGGAAAATGCTTAAAATTTGACTTTTTACGAAATGGGAAGGTTAAAATCATCATGTTTTTAAAAGAATTTGGCCGAAAACTTAAGAAAGCAGGTAAGTTAAAAGTTATTTAACTTTAAAATTCAACCTTCAAGGTGTTTCCCTATATGAGAACAAATCATGAACAATATCTTCTTGCATGTGTATTTCTGTTTTGAATCTTGCTATTTTACGATTTTACGTCATTTTATTTGATCTTATATAGCAATTACACAATGGTTACGCTTCCGATTTTTAAACTAAAAAGGCCGAAAGATTTCAGAGTACAAAATGTCCATTTGTACACGGACAGAAGCCTAAAAACATGTACAATTCACCTATATGCGAACAAATTGTTCATTCGACATAAGTATGATAAGGCAAAATGGCCGCTATGCAAATTAGCAAATTACCCCAAATTTTGCCATATTCACATATAGCTCCTCAATATTTTGGAATAAACTACCAAATGAAATAAAACTATGTGAAAATCCTAGTACTTTTAAAAGAAAATGTGTAGATTTTTCAACTATAAATGATATGTAACTACTCTCTAACTCTAGCATGTCTTTTTAATGTTTGTGTATAATGTATAATTTTGTTTTTCTTGTTCTACAGACAATCATTTAGCGTGAAAGTTTAATTATATGTCAGGGCTCGACAATAACGCTTGTCCGATTGTCCGGTACCAGAGGAAAAAAAGGTCGGACAAGTAAAAACCATAGTAAGCTTGTCCGACGGGACAAGTAAAATTATTCTTCAGAAAATAAATTAAATCCAACTTTGATGATCAAAGTAATTATTAACAAAAAAACAAGAAAAGAAGATAAAAACAAATATTAATTTGACATGTTTACTTGCAGTCGATAATTTAAAACTGGTTCTTTGTTAGATAAAACGCATACTATTCTTGGAAACCAGTCTTACTGATCGGAATCAGCGATGCACTTTGTAGATGAGGTAACGTTACAAGACAGTTCGGCACCAGCACGGAAACGATTCGGCTCCATGTTTAATAGATAGTTTGGCACCGTAGAAGACATTTTTAATAGACATGTTTAATAGACAGTTTGGCACATAGGAGACATTTCGGGACAAAGACAAACCAGTACCTCGTTTCCCTACCTTATTCTGTTGCTTTATAATATTAAAGCACCATAATTTTTTTTTCACAAAATTATTTTTTAAATAAAAATGAAGAAATTATTAAATTATTGACCATAAAATTCTTAGAATCATATTTGATCATATGTAGACGGTGCCTCATGTGCTTAGTCTGATGAGACTTTGGCATTGATGAAAACTAGAACCTAAGTCCCGTGACATGACTAGATTCAGTTGTTCCTGACTCATATTTTTGAAAAGGATTTCAAGAGATATAAATCAAATTATGTTCTTTTGTTTTAATTCATTTTGTTTGGTGAATCAAATTAAAATGCAAAAAAGGTTGATATTAGGATTTTTTTCGGACAAGTTACAATTCCATTCGGACAAGTAAGTTTTGGTAGGTACTTGTCCTATTGGACAAGTTGAAAAAAAAGTTATTGTAGAGGCCTGTATGTTCAAAAATTGTAATATTTTTTCTGTATGCTTTTTTGTGAGGGTCTCAAGGTAGATTCAGGATTCAATATTTTGTTATAGTCTCACCGAATTATAGTTATCTCGTACCATTGTAAACTCGTACCAATGTCAACTCGTACCACTAAAAAAAAACTCGTACCAATGCAAACTCGTACCACTGCTAACTCGTACCACGGTAAATTCATACCATTGTAAACTCGTACCAACTTATTTAAATGCATTCAAATGGTGTTTAATGATGAATATATACTTTAATTTCCCTCAATACCTCGTAAATCTGTAAAATGTATATAATTTGAAATTACAAAGACCAATTTGTAGCTAATTTTCCTTGTCTAATTGGATAGAGAAAACCGTGGCAGATTGGCTTTGTTGTCTCCCTTGAGTAGACTCTTTTTTAAACTTTTACTGACAACTATTTGATTTAATTTTTAATCATTCCACAGAAGTGCTGACTACTGGGCTGGATATACCAAAACAAAATCATATAACATTCGTATTTTTTAATATATTTTTAATGGTACGAGTTTGCAGTGGTACGAGTTCTGATTGGTACGACTTCCCAGTGGTACGAGTTTACGTTGGTACCAGTTAACTTTTTTGGTACGAGTTTACGTGGTACGAGTTTACAATGGTACGAGTAAACTTGCTTCCGTCTCACCACATACAAACATACAATAAGATTCTCATAATAACACATAAAACAGTTACTACATTTGCAATGTATGCACCAATCATAAAAAGATTTATAAGAGACTTTTAAGTCACAATATATACATATAATTTTTTTTATACATTTACATTTGACATTTACAATGTTCATCTAAACTACATGAATGTAAAACTTTTTTTTTTCTTTTAAAACTATGTGAAAATTCAAATAAAATACTTTTTTTCTCAATAAAATGTTGCTGCAGGTTTTGACAACTACAGTAGCAACATTCTCATTCTTAAATGAAAATTATTATTATTATTAGCTCACCTGGCCCGAAAGGGCCAAGTGAGCTTTTCTCATCACTTGGCGTCCGTCGTCGTCGTCGTCCGTCGTCGTTAGCTTTTTACAAAAATCTCCTCTGAAACCACTGGGCCAAATTTAACCAAACTTGGCCACAATCATCATTAGGGTATCTGGTTTAAAAAAATGTGTCCGATGACCCCGCCAATCAACCAAGATGGCCGCCATGGCTAAAAATAGAACATAGGGGTAAAATGTAGATTTTGGCTTATATCTCTGAAACCAAAGCATTTAGAGTAAATCTGACATAGGGTAAAACTGATTATCAGGTCAAGATCTATCTGCCCTGAAATTTTCAGACAAATCTAACAACCTGTTGTTGGGTTGCTGCCCCTCAATTGGTAATTTTAAGGAAATTTTGCAGTTTTTGGTTATTTTCTTGAATATTATTATAGATAGAGAAAAACTGTAAACAGCAATAATGTTCAGCAAAGTAAGATCTACAAAAAAGGTGTCATGACCAAAATTGTCAGTCGACCCCTTTAGGAGTTATTGCCCTTAATAGTCAATTTTTAACAATTTTTTGTAAATTTTTGTGATCTTTTACAAAAATCTTCTTCTCTGAAACTACTGAGACAAATTTAACCATACTTGGCCATAATCATTATTAGGGTATCTAGTTTAAAAAATTTGTCCGATGACCCCGCCTTCCAACCATCATGGCCGAATTGGTTAAAAATAGAACATAGGGGTAAAATACAGTTTTTGGTTTATATCTCTGAAACTAAAGCATTTAGAGCAAATCTGACAGGTAGCAAAAATGTTCATCAGATTTAGATTTATCTGCCCTGAAATTTTCAGACGAATCCGACAACCCGTTGTTGGGTTGCTGCCCCTGAGTTAGTAATTTTACAAAAATTATGCAGTTTTTTGTTATTATCTTTGATATCATTATAATATCTAATATCTAATACTATTAATTATGATTTAAACCTTATTTTATATGATTTCCAAAGCATCAGTAAATACAGGTGAGCGACACAGGCTCTTGAGAGCCTCTAGTTATTATTATTATTATTATTATTATTATTATTATTATTATTATTATTATTATTATATTGCAGTCTTCGTTGAGCTTCTGATGTTTCAGACATATGAGAAAGTCGTTGAATATTGATACGTGCCATAATTGCTAACTTATAAAGTTTGACGATTTTCAAAGGTTCGATAATCACGATATTTTATCTTAGATCATGAAATTAATAACACCTTTTTTAAATATTTTACAATGCGATATAATTTAAATTTTGCCAAGAGACGACATTTCTGATGAAAATAAATGATGACTTTTATACTTGTGTCCCACTGCAGACTAAAATTAGCACACGATGATAACTACATTTTAAAAATAAGAGTGCACTCGCTGAAACGTCTCGCCTGTATTACTCATCATTGATTTCATGTTGAAAGTCCAGTGGCGGATCCAGAAATTTTCATAAGTGGGGGCCCACTGACTGCCTTAGAGGGGGCCCGCTCCAGTCATGCTTCAGTGATTCCCTATATAATCAACCAAATTTTTTCCACAAAAGGGGGGCCCGGGCCCCCTGCCCCCCCCC